AATCAGAACTATATTCTTAACATTCAAACGTCCTGCTGGCCCTACTTTCACACCTCCGGTGCGGGCTGCTACTCGTTTACTAGCCCATATTACTGAACTTTCTTTCTCAGCCTGCTTTCAGACTCTACCTCATGCGCCACTTCATCTGATTCATCCTCATCACTCTCATAATAATTAACAGATACTTGGCCATCGAACCTCGTACTTCTCCGGTAACATGTTGGAAGATGAGAAGCATTCTCGGAGGGGTAATCTGTGGCAATATGGATTACTTGGCAAATTATAAATGCTACGAGTCATACATTATGTACAAGTGTAGTGGCAACTTCTGGAGACTTCTAGAGCCTACTCTGAACCTCAATAGATTACCAATACTACCATGCTTGTTTAACCCCATACATCTGTCAGCAGGCATTGTTTCCCCACAAATATCTGCCAGGCAAAGTGTGTTTCTCAAAAGTTACCTGTCAGGACAAGAAAGTGTTGCATCCGCAATTGCCGGTACAGTATACCAGTCTTCGAATTCGTGAGTAATCTGGAGGGAATTAGTCTGTTTCCTAGCTCTAAATATTCAGTCTGGATTTGACCAAGCCAGTCCAAAAAAAAAAACCATATGTTTCCTCCGCATCCCCCAGGGCGGGAAGCCTTATATATGCCCACCCACCAAAGAAACAGTTACTCTCTCCAGTATGGCGAGGACGGTGTGCTGGAATAAGGGGGTGCTAACCTATGCTCGAATTCGGAAAATCCTACCCCAAGTCAAACTCGTTCGAACACGCCCCAGGGTCTCTACAATTCGTTGCTAACCGTTGGTACCGATGGGTCTCGATCTCCACGGTCCCAGGAGTTTTCTATATGGCCAACGGATCTCTTGACGCCGTAGCTCAGCATCCCGTTCGCACCGAATTCTGTGAGCATATCAAACAAGCTACGTGTGTTTAGTACGGTATGTATGTTAGTTTTTTCATCGAAGCATATCCCCGAAGCTAGTGAATGAACCGTGAAGATGAAAGAATGGCATATGAGTCACATAAGGATCCATTGCCATTCGACACTACCATGGGTATTAAAGTGCCTCTTCATAACCATCTTTGTTAGCGAATCAAATAGTGGTGGTCGTGAGCTGAGTCGGACGAAAAAAATAGTGACTTCTTCCCTGATTATGAGTGATATTCCATGTATAACCGCGAATGCTAAGCAGTAATATAAGTAGACTCTACTCTTGCTCAGTTTATTGCTGGTGGCCAAAAAGTATTTAGCAGTATTTGATAATTTAACTGAATTTGAGGCTGAAACTGCAGAAAAAAATTTTGGCTCTTTATTGTCCAATCAAGATCATTTTGTGCAATGTCTTTTGGATTGTCTTTTTTGGCTGTAATTGCGGCAGCTTTGTGGGTGAGCATGAGCACAGGTCTGGCTCATAATTAGCAACACATTTCCAAGAACGTTGGCTTGTGGGGAGGTTTGTTTGTTTGTAATCATATTGTATTCGGCCGCTTGCGGCCATGACATAACCTAATCCTAAGCACTTCCGCAACCTAAGTTACATCCAAGTCATACTTCCTGATCTCCTTCCCCCCATGCTTGTGGGGAGGTGGTGGTGGTGGTGTTTATTTAGCTGAGCGAGAAAATAGGGTTGAAAATAAGGTGTCAGACACCATTGCACAGCACGCATACTTTTGGCCACCAGCAATATGTCAGAAGATCAATTGCCATAGTTAACGCTCGGAAAAGATTCGTTTTGCAGATCTTGCAGCTATTTCTGGATTCTTTCGCACAATACCTTCAGGCCCTTGCCGATGGGCCAGACAACTATCTCAAGTCGTCAGAGACCAGCCCTGCACTTGTCGAGATAACCGAATGGTCATTCCGGTTTCAACATTGCCCCTCTAGCTGTTAGTCCTGCCGAGAAGCAGCTGTAAGTGACAATGTTTGAAGCGTTGGGTATGTTGAATGGTCAAGGGATACCATTCTCGAAGTGTGTGGAAATTATAAGACATGATGGGACGGTGGTTGTAGCTGGGGTTATTCCTCTTTAAGTGTTGGCTGTCTGTCCAACATACATAGCTTCATGAATTGCAGGCCGTTCAGATTAGGATTTACTAGCATTTCAGCGTTGAATAGAGATGCTGTTTCCCGATGGTATGGTTCTTTCACAGTCGCCTTTACCAAACCTTGCCACTTCTTCCCTACAATGACTTCGCACCGGTCAATATTGACTGCCCAAGCACTCCAGATTAAGGTATTAGAATCGCACCCCTAAAATTACTGACACATATTTATCTAAATTGATGTTCCCAGAGCTCGATGACAAAAATAATCAAAACTACAGTACCAGGGATTCCCGCGTAGTCACCCACTGCAGTACTAACCTGGCGATGTTATGCTTAGATATGGCTGAGCGAACGGGAAGCCTCATTTTCATAACTCGATGACCGTAGCTGTCGGTTTATTTATCATTGACTACCTAGGTACGTCATTGAACCTACTCATCTCCTCATGCTTTGCGTGAAGCACGTAGGGATGCTCAAGAACACCAAATAGGTCGGAGGTAGACCTTGGAGAGAAATCGGCTTTATCTGTTTCTCGGAGTAGCGGGGCGTTCAATCGAGTTACGTCTGTTGTACATGTTCGAGAAGCAAGACGCTCTTACTCTTGGGCGATGTCACATCTTGCAGCCGACAAATTCGAGAAGAAGTAAAGGTGAAGGGAATTTGGAGGAATGACTTCTTATTTGATTAAACCATGGTATTTGGTGTCATTTAGAGGAGGAAAGTGATGACAAGAGAAAAGGCATGGGCGATGATTGTAGCGATATCTTTTCTGATCTTGGCTCTGCGAGAGGAGGGCTGTTGGCGATGGAGGGCGTAGCAGTGAGATAGACTTAGATGATAGATTTCGTCCTTGCAGCAAGTCCGGCCAATAGTTTAGCCTGGCACTGATTGATACTTGCTTTTGTAGATGGCCGAATTGTAGATGGCGAATGATTGGCAAGATCCAAACAGCCATTTTAACCTTTTTTTTTTGGGAAGGCACGATTTCCATGAAATCATCAGATAAAGACATCTAGAACTTCTATGAACACCGTGTCGAGTATCACCATAGTTCGGAGGGTAATTACCAAGCTCAGAATACTCTCAGCAGAGTGATTCAACTGCAAAGAATACGAGTAGAAAATATGGAGGGATGAACTTACAAGGACGAACATATGACACACATTTGACGCGTTCGGAACGATGGTACCGTGATGCGATGCATCGATAGTCTGACTACAATGAAGTCTCTTCGATGCATGCATGCGGCCCATTCCCAAACAACTAGCGCACAGAAACTCGTACCCCAAGAGAATCGGCTTGTGAGAGATTTCTCCAATCAGATAGTGGGATGAAGCATTGGAGTGGGATATGGCATCCACATGAGTCAACCTCCAATCTAAGTTTTAGTCCAGTAGGATAATGCAGAGAGTGAAATACCAATGAGATGTGGAGCAGAGTTGATATCAACATTCAGCTCAACTTCGATTTCTTACGCGCGGTCGGTCAGAACCATGTGAGTGGCTTGAAAACTGGGCTGAAAATTGGATGGCTCTAGTACGATAACGATTAAGACTATCCACTGTCCCCCTCCAATCATCCGGAAATCACGGCCACCACGTGCACCTCTCAGCTACTAATATCCAAACGTGTACAACCTTGCCTCTTGGCCCCACGCGTTCCAGACCACCATCACGCCATCATACCACATACCACACCATACCCATATACAGCGGCAGACAAAACGCAACTTGATGTATGGCCCAGCCCAAGCCGGTATCACTTGCGTAAACTTCTTTGATCTCTACTCTACGACGCGATCCCATCCATCGGAAGAATTGTATAGACAGACCAAGAAATGGCAAATATCATGAGGTAGGGATAGTATGGGAGGAGGTATAAATGTACGTAGACTACAACCTCCAGAAGGCAGGTGTGAAGAGCCAGCATGGGCCATAACTGAATGTAGTTGAAGGGGAATAAGACGAAGGGATCGGTGGGGTAGTCTATGTATGCCATCTTGGCGTGTTTTTCTATAGAAGAAGCAAGGTAATGGGGATATATGGCTTGATGGTGATCGATATTATGAGCGGTGGGAAGCTTTGAAGTGGAACGGTAGGCTCAAGGTGATTGGTTTTGTCCCTTTCCAATCAGTCATCATGGTTGCAAGCCTGAAACACTCCATAAGATCTGCACTTCTTTGTTTTCAAAGCGCAGGGTGGCTTCACGACCTCGTCGCCGTGATATTGTTCAGGGCAAGGTGATAAGTCGCCTAGGATTATACTAGGCCTATGCTGCAAGAAGCCCACCTAACAGGCCAATGAAATAATGGATACAACCACAGAGGAGGAAGAGCAGATATCACGAAAGAGCCTAGATAGTAATAGCGTTAACTAGTTCTGATACCAAATTACCTTGTATTTAATATCGGTTATTATACAAACTTCCCCTCTAGAGAGACTAATTATACAAACTACCCTCATTTCAAAAATATTATACAGACTACCCCTATCATCCAAAAACCAAGGATAAAATAACTCCAAAATCGCAACTGATATCATGATAATTTTAAAGTTCTAGTTATTACTACACACTTTCAAGTACATATGCCATGATATTGAATTTATAAATTACTGTGGTGCAATATGGTGGTGGCTTCGGTATGACAATGTGATTGCAGACACATCTATCTGTGGTCAGGAGTCATCTAATTTAATGCAGTGGACCATTGTTTTATTATTCAACTTCACAATACCACCAAACACACTAATTATCAGTTACTGCTGCTTGCTATCATTGCCCATGGTTGATTATTTTGTTTTGAATTTTTCTTGTCACTTTTTGTAAGGAAAAGAGGGGTATTCTGTATAATATTTTTGAAATGAGGGTAGTTTGTATAATTCGGTTCCCGAGAGGGGTAGTTTGTATAATAACCGATTTAATATTTTCTGGGATGGATAAGTACAAGGTAGGATGGCCGAGTGGTTAAGGCGCTGGTTTTAGGTCATTGATTCAAACACCAGTTGGAAACAGCGTGGGTTCAAATCCCACTCCTATCATCTTTATGTTTTGCGCTCCTACTGTCGAGCGATTTCTTTGTGGTTGGGGCAGAGATATGATGAGTGCTCCGTTTTGTATTCGCACAATTGTCACGAGATACGAAGTCATTCAGTGAAAGTGGTTTTTGCCCATCGAGTGCAACAAGGATACCGTATAATTCCAGGAATAAGCCGCAGAGATTTTTGCAGTGAGTTGGGGTTATTTGCACCAAACTCACTACGGCTTATTCTTTGAACTATATGGTATGGCAAAGGTACATATAGAAACGAGGGTGATGATTAATGACTTTCCAGCAATTAAACTATAGCTACAGTAAAACCTGATTTTGGATGCCCATATGCCAGTGAATGGCATGAATATTCCCCTTATATCACAAACTTTACTTCAAAGCCTACACTAAAACTCCACTAAATGCAGGTGGACGCCTTCTTAACAGTGCTATCATAGATACAGTGATATTCATCGTTTCCAATGCCCATCAGCTTCTGCTCGTTCCCCGAGATGTTTCCCATGTAACTTTAGTAGATATTCTTTACACCATATGTGCAAGTGTTCTTGATTGTTTCTTGATCTGTTTTCTATTTAGCACCTTATCTCTTCTATCGCAATACGAGGGTGACGAGCCTCCATAGTTTGCATTGATTCCTATCAATGACTTTCCGCCCTGGGCCACGACCCCGGTAGCGGTGAAATCGCGCTTGTACTAGGTCAAACAATTGCCGCATGAGCGGTAGAGCTTGCCGAAGTTGGCGACAAAGAAGTCGATGGCGGACACGGTGCCACCGCCATTGTGCTGTATCACTTTGTCTTTGGCGTTGCTAGCTCCACCGATGATGTAGGAGGTGCCGGAGGCTTGCAGAATTGTAATGGGTCTTCGCATACATTTTCAAACCATACGTTACAGATAGTGCAGCTTCCAAGAAAATAGAAGCCTTCTGTTTAGGCCGATCCGATAATAGCGTCTAATTTTGTTAATTTGAGGTTTATCATGCTGATGAATAACATTACTTTGCAATGTGCTACCGTTCTGGATATAGAAAACCTGCAGGAAGAATCAGCACGCAAACAGTAGCTGGGGGAACGGACTCTTGTACTATATCAGCCTAGCCTCCTTCGTCTGGTTTACACCTAGCTGCAGTTTCACTATTTACCAGCAAAGTTTCTTGGATCCCTTGGTGGACAAAGTGCTTTACTGTTCCTGTTGAATCGTATTATCCAGCCATCATAGGTCCCCAAAACGACTATGGGGGCTAGGAAGTGTGATACTAGAGACAGCATAAGGGAAGATAGTGCCCGCGGTAAAGATGGTGGCGGCGACAGCGAAGATGGACAAAATCTCCGTATGATAACAATGAATGAATTGGCTGAATTCATAAAGGTCTAATGTTCACGGGGACAAAAGATTTGCATGACTACTTGCTTCGTTTAAAGAATGAAGTTGCAGCAGCTCGTGATGTTGACCTGGCAAATACGCTTTGGCCTCGTATTCCACCGAAAAATCCCATCGGTTCCCTCTGATCCGGATCGACGTCCACGATAACTAGGTCCGGAGGACGCGAAATTTGTGGGCAACTGTTGTCGAGAGTACCAGCTGCTCACTCACTTTCGATACCGAGCAGATCCGCTTCCTTAAAGCGATAATTTTGGAGAGCGAACCGAGGCAGCGATAACACCAGGAACAAGTCCGGTGATACTTACGCGACCGCAGGCTGTGGTCTATTCCGAATGGAGCCCAACGCCTTACGCATGCCGGCTCATTCTTGCATGCGGAGCTCCCCAAACATTGGGATCCGGAATGACAGTCAAGTGACAGTGAAAATCAACGGACCGAAGGGGCCGTGCTTTGTAGAATTGAAGCGCGGATGTAATGTGGGCATCCGGCAGGCTGCATTCTTCGTGTCATCATGGGTCGATCGACCGAGGTCTCGCAAAATCTATTAAGCCCCAACCCATTCAAACTTTCCAATGGTTGGACGATGCCCAATCATACATTTCGCCGAGCAAAATGACAGGCAGTGCAGACGGTTACAACCGAGTGATAACGGGTATGTCGTGTAAGAAAGAGTGAGGCGAGGGGCTAAAGGTTCACTCATACCCATTGCTCGCTACACACTGAAGTACACAGACGTTTGATTAAGCCGTAGGACCTGCATGTGAGCTAGCGAGGATCCATGCATGAAATGTGGGGTGCATGCTGGAGTTGGTGATGAGTTTATCCCGGAGCTACCCCTCAGGTACAGGAACCTACTACACCTTAGACTTATGGCTTTCAATATGCAATATACCCGTTGCGAGCATTTAGTACCAGAACATGCACCCTGCGAGACTTGGTTGGATATAAGCTGGAGTGGTAATAACTGGACGTTTTCCTACCTGTTCAAGTAAACTTCGGTGCTTGCATATTCTGGTTCTAAATGCTGTCAGTAAGTACACGCTACAGCAGAAATTCCGAAAAGGCTCCTGCAGAAGCACCGGGAAACGCCGCAATCCGGCCCGCACGTAGGAAATAGACCCCGAGTCTCTCCTGTTTCATGGCAATAGGACCACCGAGCCGATAGGTTAAAGGTTCGTCTTCAATGTTGCCAATCAATGTATACTTGCTGCAATAATGTGGAATGCTCGCATTTATGCCGTATAAATATACATATGCATGTGCACCGTTCCGAGTATTTATAAATAAGCATAGGTACATATACGCTCTGTGGATTTTTAATCAAAGACCAAAAGAGTGATCACTGCAGATTTTGAGCCTGCGATCTTGGTGTTTATAGCAATTGGTGATTATAGCACCACTCCCTGCAAGCCGAACTAGGGAGTCCTTGTTTATACATCACCATAGATCACTGAACACCCAATCCATGGAATTGCATTGGCTGATAGCAATTAGGCGCCTACTTAGACGATTAGGCTTTAAACCTACAACACCGTGAAAATATCAACGTCAGAGCTGTTGCACTGTAGGAAAAAGGCAAGAAAAAGAGTGACTACCAAATGTTTCGAGCTTGTACCCTCGGTGTTTACAGCACCAGTTGAACTAGGGTGTTGTTGTTCTATCCAATGGTGTTATGGAGTCCTGGCTTGTAGGTGAACCACAGTAGCAGAAGAGTATACTAGTACCAATTACTTGGATCAATATCGGTTACACTTCTGATATTATTGGCTAAAATGATTATAACCCCACCAGGAGCCCAGAGCATGTAGCCGCCATAGTAAATATCCTGCAGGATTGTCTAATATTAACATAAACCCACAACAGCCTAACGTCGTATACATTGACTTGGTCATAAGACGTGCGTAAGCCACAGCGGCAGTCCGTGGCGTAATTACTTCCCCATAGTCTTACCTGGTACCCTGTGTCTTGCTATCGATTCAGGACGGTCTGCATGCCTTGTCTCGTCTCCATGATTGAGAATAAGGCATGCGTAAGCCATCGGCGCCGCGTAAGCAGTGGCTTCGGCAGGAGGACCCGTGGCGCAGCAGGCTATAGTTGCTCCCTGGCTGGTTTAGTAGAGTCCTCTACTCTATATACCGTACCTTGTCGTCGGTTCGGTGCGGTGTGGAGTTAGCATAACACCTGTCTCGTCTCCAGCTTCTCGTTAACAGGTAAGGCAACAAGGTAAGAGTGTCAACCCACTAGACTGGAGTTTGGGCGCGAGTCAACCTCATGTTCTCCAAAAGCAGGAATATCGGATTTAACACAATACCCGTTTCTCCGCGAAAAGAATCTCCGCTGTGATTAAGACCAACGTGCTATATTATTGAGGATCTTTTACGTCTTCCTCTGCCAGAGTCGGCGCCCAGTCCTAAGCATGTTCGACGTTCAACCATGCAGCGCGGAACCAGCCAATCCATGTACCTCCACATGCCAGCGTTGGATTATTATTACGTTGTCGTTCAAATTACGATGGTTTCATCAATGGATGCTCATGATTTCCTCGGAGCTGGTTATGTAAAACCATGAGTGATGATTGTGCGTTCCGTCGCCGCCCGTGATGTCGGGCAAGGCTACTTAAGTATGTATACCAGCTCACACTCGGTACTCGGGATCGGAGTTTAACTAAACGTTAAAAACATGCAAGTGGCTGAAACCAGTAATTACGTAATTCTGAATTCGAAACTACCATTATACTACCATATCGAGTAACTTCCAGCCACTCGAAAAGTTTCATTACCTACATGTATTCCGGTTCCTCACCGAATTCTATGATCTGTAGGAATAACGTAGTTGTATATGTATCGATCGTGAATCTTTGTAGTGCAAATAACTATGTTCAAGGTTTGATACCGAGGTACTGGTCCGGAGAAGCGTCCGGAGAAGCAAAAGAGCATTTGATATCAACGTTATAGGCTGCAAGCGGTAATAGCTAAAACTAAAGCAATGTAACATGTGCACTTTTGAAAGATCTCTCCACTGTCTGGACTACGCGCGTGAAGATCTTGACATGTATAGGTATAGCGGCAGCTTATAATATTCTGTTGCTTGTCCAAACTCTAGTACCATACTTTACATGAAAATTCTTTACATCCCTTTGGTGAGGTTGCTGCTGTCTATGCAGCATATTCTCGCTCGTTCGCGGTTGAAAACTAGCACTAGCCCTCAACCCTCAGCCCTAAGGATCGAGTGAGAACGCCGACTCCAATTGTGAGTTTTGTAATGAGTTTTGTAATGAATCGGTTTGTCCTCCGCAATGTACCTGAGCGGTATTTTCTCTGATATGAGGTGTTTTTTTTACGGAAATTTCGGAGAGACGGGGTCTTCAGAAACTACCCGATTCCCAAGGCCACGGATGCAAATGTCTACCGCTCGACCGTTGAGCGCTAAACGTAAATAATAATGTCCGACTATGTGATCCTCCGTTGCAAAGGGGACCTCAGACCCGAGTGATACTGCCTGTGTCGATTGTCAGAAGTTGGTTTTCTACAGGCCCAACCTCCAGCACACTGCATATGGAGCTGGAATATCTACCACTGGTACCTCCGTGGCTCTGTATTCAGTATC